TGGGGAGGAAACATTTCAATCAGGCACATAAGAGGACTTCATTATTCGGTTCGGAAAACGAGCCACAATATTTTGAGAATCCATTTAGAGAAAATACCGGCCATCCGATTTATAGATGTCTTAAGACGAACAATCGTTTCACTGACGAAATCGCAAACAAACAATCTGCTTCATTTATTCAGACCAGACAAGTAAATTGCCGAATTAACCACCTGTAAATACTTATATCCTTTAGGTGGATAATACCAGTGTGAAACATTTCCCAAAACAAATAATCCGCGAATTTGAACATGTAACATAAAATCGTTTGTGACAGATATTTAGACTAAATCCCGTGATGACGTTCTTGAAAGTGAAAATTCAGAGTTTATGGAAGGCACTCATGAAATGGCATCCACAAATGTCTTGCAATCGAGAGAAGGTTGGTAGTTTTTCATTTGGGTCAAATTTTAATTAATTAAAAATAGAGGACAATGAATACACAAATTCTCAGGAAATTAAAAATTTAGATGGAAATCCTCAAAATCATGCTGACACAGTAAGTCTTGCTATTGCAGTGAATAAATTTACACTTGAAAACTCATGACACAACGAGTGCTCTAGATATTGAACAAAACTACGTACGAGACCAGAAAGTCTGGATAATGGATGCTACAATCGTAAACTCCAACTCTAAGAGTGACATTTTGAATGAAAGAAAAGGGCGAAATATATCATTATCAAATTCGCCTTTAAATACAGGGAAATTAAAAATGTTATTTATAGTTAGCATCAAATTGAAACGTATTTAGCTTAAATATATTAGATATAGAGATGTAAATGCAACTGTAGGAAAGGGATTTAAGTAATCTAAACATGGAATTTGTAAAATGATAAGTGAGTCAATAGTCAATTTTTATTTGAAATATCCAAAGAGTAGAAAGAGTAAGGACTTGTATTGCGTATGTGATGATGATGACATGACAACAATTGCGATTTTCGCTCGATGTTAGAGAGAAAATAAGTAACAATTTCTGGGTGCTTATTTGAATATTGGGCATATAATTAAACGTAAACCAAAGCATTACATAAATCCGAATTTTTTAGAACACAGAGAACGACAAGGTGGATTATCTGATTCAAGCCGCCGAGGAAAGAGCCAAAAGAAGAGAACTCAATAAGCAAAACAGTAGTGAAAATCAACTGTTGTTTGATGCATTGCAGAAACCCAAAAGAAATTCAGAATACCAAAGAGGGCTATTAAACGCGCCGTGGTATACTAATCCAGAAGAAGGAATAGGTTCTGAAGATGTGCAAAGATATTACTCAAAGTCTGTGAAACCAGCATTAAACTCCTTACAGAACATTTCAAAATCTAAAAGTACAACCCAACAAGACTTCCCGAAGTACTCCTTACAAGAGCTAAAGGTGGGTAAATTAAGTTGTAGTAAAAGTGGTAAAGGACGTACGTTTTTAATTTTACTTACTCCTGTTACTTCCAATAGAGCATAGGCCACCAACCAGCATGGTAAAGGATGTGCATTATTATAAATACTAAAAGCATGTGAAGATTAAAGAAGAATAACTTAAATCGCGTGACTTTTTGGTCTGTCTAGCTCGGCTAGTGGTTTAATCTTTTTAAAGTCACAATCTCCCTATTTTGGGGATTTCCTCCAAGCCTGGGGAAATTTTGTGCCATTTTTCTATTGCGTCTTCCCGAAAACGGACAAAATTTCCCCAAGAATAGGTAGGCTAGGACTCCATTACTGGCAATTTTAACCGAAATTTAAATGAAATTGTTCATGAACATAATAAGAAGTTCTATATAATTGTTATCTGATTGTTTGGCATCGGTATGTAGCCTATCGAATGGGACTACCCAGTGTATTCTGAACACTTATGTCATTTATGAATTAATTTATTTATGCTGTGGGCAGTTGCTTGTTCACGCTTAGTGGATTGCTTTATTTACTTTTAAAAAACAAAGTACCGACGATTCTTACTTAGGGCCTGTATTGCTAAACCACCTATTAAATTCTATGATAGTATCTGTATTAACAATTGATCATATATACCGATGTTAACCCACTAAGCCTACCTACCATTTGAGTGGACGTTATAAATCTATAATTACAAGAAGAGATACATGTGAATAAATTGTTCCAAGGTTTTGAAAATTTAACTTAATAACCCATACATCAGTTCGTTCACATGATAAAAAATAAACGTATGCCCGTTTGTGATTGTTCGTACCTTCTAAATCTGCTGATGATAGTACCTGTGTAGTTTACTTCATATGTAAAGGAGCTGATTTCATATCTGTATCTTTCGTTAAGAATGCACAAATACAAAGAAACTACTTATTTATTACTCGATATAATAGAATGTTGAGCAAAGCTACTTAAATTTAAGCTGTAGAAAATTTAAAGTAGTTTTATTTACTTTGAACTTCCCAGGAATGTAGGCAAAGAAGAAATTATAATGGGAATAAAGAGTCATTGGACTGGCCTTTTAGTGAGACAAATGGTAGTATTAAAAAAGAAGATGAACTGGGAGGATCACAATACCATAGGTCCTCAGCAGTAATTGGACAAGGTTTTCTGGAGAAATTCGGTCAAAAATCACCATCTTTAAATAAAGAACTGACGGTAAGTCAATGCACCACTAAGTACGAAGTAGATAACTGTTTGACATAAAAAACTCCTTAAGCCTCTTTTGTATGCTGCAAATGTAAATAATGTAACACTAGCTCATGAAGTCATCGAAGTTCGATCTAAACCAAAAGATAACCGTAACTAATCACTGGAAACAGTAGACAGTACGGTTTAAAGTCAAACACGGTTGGATTTCCTGCTTGTACACCTTTAAATCTAAACTGTTTTGTGGTCCTTATACTACAATTTCAGTCATCGCTCCTATTGGTCATCCATCGAAATAATATGTAGAAGATGAGGACAATGTGTGGTTTCTAAATAAAGCAGTCAGCATATTATTCCAAATGACGGAACATTTAACCAATGAGACCAACTATGAACGTAAACATACCGAGATCTAGTTGACTGATATTAAGATGATGACTTGCGTTTTCAGTTTGATTTATTTATGAATCGTACTTTTCATCTATTCCTTTTGTTATTTTGGGTTTAGATTCATTGAATTGAGGCATTTGCTCTCCGATTTGTTTTGTGCTTTTTGATTTGGATACTTAGGTTATGTCTACATTACACACAATATACAGCATAAGGAGAAAACGAACAAGTACTTGACTTTTCATTTGACACTTGTGTAGTTAGATCCAGATACATATCCCGAACCCTTTATTACCGATCTACAGATGGCTGAAAATCGTCCGGAATGCTGAGAATACACTCACTTTTGTTCTCGCTTAAATTTCGAGTTCGAAACCTACCTTTTTCTATACCTGACCATTCTCACTACTAGTGATATCATTACATTTATTGATCTCTGCCTTGATAACTTCATCTCGTAGTGCTAATGTTGTGACTCAAGGCAATCTACATATGTTAGATTTTACGTTGCAAATGACTGACTGGGATTAATACTTGTGATCTGAGTATCTTGTAACCTTACCCATCGTCTGATGAGTAAGTTCAAAAAGGTGTTTCATGTCAGAACTTTTAGTGTACGACAATGTCAAATGTGTTTCTTTTTACATTCAATTTTCATCTGGATAACCACATTGTTTGTTTTGACATGATACTACGTACGATGTTAAATAATTGGTTAATAATGACCAGGGTAATCACTTACCATATATTAATAAATTATGGATAGTTTACCTGTACTCTAGTTCTGATGAATACTTTCATACCGTAGAACCAACTGAACTATGTAGATTATGTAAATAAAACGAATGCTGTCCTAGTTTTTAATTAACGGTATTTTTATTCCAGAATGATCCACCAGTAGCGGCGTCTATGCTACGAAACAGCCCATATGCGTTTCACGGATAAATGGACTAAATGCTAAAACCAACTTTAAAGTGATGTTCACAAATATTTTAATCTTTTTATTAGCTTGCTTCTTATTATAAATGCTCGGTACTAAAAACTCCTTCTATCATGTCATAATATAACTAAAACCATTAATTTACCTTATTTGTTTTATGTAACAGTTAATTCCAATTTTTGTAATATTTTAACATTATCATAGTACATTATTTCGTGACCGGTTTTAAAATAAATAAACTCATTTATGAGTAACATAAGGCAGAAAAATTGTACAACCTTTCTATCATTGATCATTATTATTGTTATTATGACAATCATTGAATATTTACCATGAATGTTTTCATTAAAAATAACCTATGATTGGGCTTTTTCCTGCCAATACTTTACCTTAAGGCCAAATTCTAACTTTTAAAAAAAGTGATATATTTTAAACATGTTTTCACCTATACGTAACATAGCATATATCTGTATTTTTCGAAGGTTGGTATGAAGTCGTCTAGCGCTATTGTTACTAAAGTTAGAGATTTCTACAAAGACTACTAGATAATTGAAGCAGTTAGTGTGCCAATAATTCTGATGACAAATCGCCAAAAGCTAAGATATAGTTTCAAGTAAACAGCTTTCACAAGGTTTATGTACTTCTTTGGTAAACGTTTTAATAACAAGAGCTACCTCAACAATTCTTGGTCAACAGAATCGACTGTCACATTCAGGTCAAGAAATACAACTGTAGTCAGACGTTCGTAAGTAAAACCATGATTCGAAACCGGACGAAGAGTGAACATTTGATTAGCATATCTATGTTCAGGTTTGAAATGAATCTCAGTTTTGCAAGTTTTTTTTTATGAGGCCTAGTAAAGCATCGTGGGGTTATTAAGGCTAATATTCTAGGCACTATGCTAGTCAAACTAATTTCCCTGTGTCTATCACAAGATAATTTTCGTACTTTCTTGTAAACTGAGACAGTCAGTGACCGACATCAGTGACATTAGAACACATACAGTCCCCAGAATTTAGCTATTGATTATAGAAAACATATCAGCATTGTTTTTATTGAAATGTATCTATATTTTGCAACAATTTTCGTAAATTATCCGTATCCATTGGAATGAATATGAATTCCGTGCCATCAGGTCCCTGAAATGAAAATACAGATGTAGAAAACATACAATATCATACCAAACACACCACATATAGTTAATAGAAAATAATGAAGTCATAATGAAAAATGTTAACTTCTACATATTCACATCATAGGAAACAATAAGCCTGCTGTTAGTTTCTATAAGAAAAAAGTCTAAGAGTTTTGAAACATAAACAAATCGTAATATTTTAAGAAACCAACATGTTTATTGACTTATATAAGACACAGAAAGTTATACGTGCTACTTTTCTGAATGTTATTAGCATGCATATTGGTAATTACGTATAACTTCAGTTATTAGGAGGAGAGTCGACGTTATCAAGAATACACAAATAACAAATACAACAATGTGAGGAAGATTAAAATGTGTATCGCTTCAAGTTGCGAAATCGCCATCAGCATAATGAGACAATCCATATGAGTAAAGAGAAAGGACTTAAAACATTACCAACAGTAATCGAAAATGAAGATAAAAAAGCAAAACAATTGGATGGAAAACATGGGATACGACGATGTTCGAGAATGAATTCATTTGAACTAATCAGATTGCTTTAAAATCAACATTACCGAATATTTAGTCATAAATCACGGTTATGCTATGAGATCCAAAAATAAGGACTTCACTTATCCATAAAATTCAGATTAATAGTCAATGGTTTCATGAAGCAATGACACATTTTAGCATACCTAGTCTTAACAAACCAGTTTTTATGCTAGTAAGCACTATTTCGGAGTGGTCGATGGTGTTGTGACTTTATATCCGGCTAGTTATCACGTGATTTATCCACCAATCAAAATATGACTTATACAATCTTAGCACTGTGCCAAACCAATGACGTTCGACCGGTATGAGCAGCTTAGCGTCCTTATTGGTCCTATGTTCGCCTAGCCCGTCCACTTGAGTCCAGAAAACCAGTACCAACTTCCACTAGGCGAATCGAATCATATATTTCAAACATCCTGTGTTTATACATCAAACAAACAGACCGCAACGCACCATAAAATAGGGAATAACATTTGTACACAATAAAGCCAAAAAGTGGCTGTGAACGTGGGAGGCAGCAGTTAATAAACTGAACATAGCTTAAGAACAGTAAATTGTACAATAATAAATTATAGGTCACAACAAAGCTTATAACAAGGGGAATATATACATAATCTAGTTACTGAATATTTATACCATGAGAATATATAAATAATATTAGTTCATTAATAGTCCTCGGGAGTTGCCCGTAATTTGATCTTCACTAGGATATAACAGATGGCTACATATATATGCAATATTTCCTAATCGCTCTAGTCAATGGGGGTTCACAGCCTTATCATGCGATTTAACACTTTCATTCAGTAGTGTCTATCTAATATGAACGGTGTGTTCACTCGATGTAACTTCTTAACCAAGTAAAGGTCTAAGCCACATTATGTCTAAGATTTAGTGATACTACCCGGCTACTCAAATTGAACTAAGGGATATGAGTTTCAAACCTGGAATCTATTGTTTCGAACACAAATTCTCTAACCATAGAGCAATTGTTTATCGATCAATAATTTCAGCATACGTGGACAATGGTGGATAGCAGTTTGACAAATAAGATAATCATTTGTCTGGTTCAAGTGAATGAAAGTATCTCGATGTAACAGACCGATCCTTAATAAATTGTATGAAAATGTTATAATTGCGAACAAATCTATGATAAACATCAGTAAAATTAAGACAAAAGTGAACAACACAGACGGCTAATTCATGACACAACCAATTTAGACTGGGATTCCCCATAGATTGACTATAAGTGCCAAAAAAAAATAAGTGATGTAGAAATTAAACATCACATCGATCGAACTGAATCGAATGAACGAAAAGACTTTAATTTATGTAATCATTTGCGTGAGCATTTAACAAACCATTTAGATGGATAGTTTACCAATTAGTATAGACCAACCATTAAATCTTTCAAGCTTAATATTGCATTAGTTTTTTTGACCAATACTACGTAACAGGATACAATACGTCAGTAATACCGATTGAATGATCATTCATTATCTCATGTCGAAAAATGAGAATTCTTTAAATAGTGGTTTCATAAATAATCGGCACATTAATGTCAGTTAAATATTGAAATAAATGAGTAAATTTATACAACAAGTTGTGTAACAACTCTTCAGCGACTTAAATCCACCATTCTTTGGAAACATGAATAACAGTCAATCATAAAGCTTAACAGATATCAGTGAAGAATTACGTAGCTACTGGAACATATGCTATGCATTAAAAAAGTTTCATTGATCACTACAATAAAAATGATTGAGAATACTGAATAATTAGGTGAAAAACAAGTTGAGAATAAAACTGACCTTCTTTATTTTAATTAATTTATGATCACGAAATTCAGTTAATTGGGCTTTTAAAGTTGTTTCATTACTTGTCAGAAAAGCATCACGACAACGCCAGTATAAATCCTCCATAGCAATCCCTTTAAAGTTAAAATAATAATAAAACAAAATTAATTCCATATACAGTTAAAGCGTAAATGAATAATTATTAACTTAGGTAAGTTTAAAACTTGGGAGAATGAAATCAATTGTTGATACATCCAACTAACGAGTCTTAAATAGGGTGAAACATGAGTCTTAAATTTCACTGAAAGCCACATATCAATTATTTACTGAATAAAGTTGTTGTATATCCATAAAAACTTATATAAACCAGATTTTACTTACCATTTATAGCCCCTTTACTATCTTGAAATGGTGTTTCTAATTGATATTCGACAATCATACGAAATATATCACGAGCATTTTGTGTCAATGATGAAGCCACTTGGCGTAGACTAGCAAACATTGCACCAACACTTCCAGTAGTATCTGATCCACTTCCAATACCACCAAGAATATTCTGCAAAATTTGACTATTTGCAAAACTGCTCTCTTCTGTATAATTATAAAAATTAGTACAATCTTCCCAGATCCAAGAGAATCTAGCCAATTCGTTATGAGACCATACTGTAAAAATATCATGAAATAAAATCATTAGGTAGGTAAACCACGGATGTGTGGAATTTGTACTAACTAATAACTCCTTTGTACTGGATTGCACTCATTACGAATTACAGAAAATATTATGTCCAGTTGAGCTATATCCTTATATGCAACCTTTCGCTTACATATTACCACCACTGAATTAACTACTTCTATGAATCCGGTGTTTATCTTGTTGTGCTAATGCGGTGTGGCAACTTGGACCGATGCATATATGCGCCTGTGCCTACGTTGTAGCTGACTGACTGACTAAGTTGTGCTCATTTAGTCCTACCTGCCTCAAATTGCACTATTTCGGAAATTCTTAGACAGCAAATTAATTCTAATACTTCTGATTATCGTAATATGATAATTACCTTTGAAAATACAAAATAATATGTTAGAAATACAAACTGATAAACTTCCTTTCATGGCATGAATATACTAGCAAAAGGTTTATTTTTAAAAGAATTAAGTTATTTATAGCTGTCTGTGCACTACACTCAGTGTAAGCAGGCGGAATATCTTACATAGGATCTCTAATTCCGACAGGTGAGGAAGTATTGGAGGTCCTCACAACACCTCACCATTACCATTTAAAATAATGCTGAGGATTTGATTCGTAGATTGGTCACCTCAAATGATGTATATTTACTTTCGCTTTTACTAAAACAACATGTTTTACCAATGTGCACTTGATACACTGAGGTAATCAGACAAAGGCGAACAGTACTGGTTAAGATTTGGCTTCACTTTCTGAGGAAATTGACATATACTGTTGGCTAAGAATGTGGCTTAATCTCCTGAGGGACATGTATTTATATTTACAAATGAGCTCTGCATATATTCTTGATTCTGCATTCCAATAAAAGTCTCGCAAACACTCTTGGTTTTCTCGCTATTTTAGACATGCATATAGGAAGTATTTGTTATCAACATCAGAGTTGGACGACTGCAAAACGTGACAGAGCTATCATCACGTTTATCATCCATTTTACCGAAAATGTAAACTTATTGTGAACCTTAAATGAGGGTACAGCTAGCAATCAACTTCCCGATATGTACCATATTTGTGTAATTTTGCTGACAATAAAAAGTTTCGACGTATTCTTAATTGATTTGCTGTCGAACTACAACTAAGTTAGTTAACAAATTCATTCCTGACAAGGAAGTAGATATATGATTGTAAGTAAGTACGCCTTACTAAATGAAAAAATAGAACTTACAAAGAGGCATGTTAGCATGATCTAATGAAGCAACTAAGTGGATATGTTGTATTTCCGCTAACCGAGCTAAAATAGCCTGGGCTTTACCATTGCGTAATCCCGGACCATCAATATTGTTTAGAAGGAGAAATAATGGTGACTTTTCAGCTTCTAAATTATACAAAATATAAACAAATTGATAACGTCGAGAAAATGAAGATGAATTTATATATATATATATATATATATATATATATATATATATATATATATATATATATATATATATACTCTCATACAGTGATTAAAAAAGCTTTAGTAACAAACATTTAACACGGATTTCATAAGTAGTAATACTTGAGTAGATGAATTACAGAATGCTCTATTCTTTTATTGAGGGAGTACATATTCGCATTTATGTCAGCAAGTTTGGCATAATACCGTGGAAACCTGTAAAAATCCTGTACGAATGTCAAAAAAGTTAATGAAATATATCTTGCAGAAATCATGTCTATCCGAATTTTAAATATCACGAGGGACACACACACATGTAACATTATTGATTCTATCTGATCACATATCCCAGGACTAGAGTAGAGCACATAACAAAGGTATAATGTGTTATATGATCTATCACCGAAACTTACAGAATATGTTGCCCCAATTCAGTGGTCTTGAACGCTGTTAGAGGTATGAGGGCGGTTATCACTTCCCGGTTGCCCACACCGTGGAAGGATTCTTCTGGAGGTACCGATAAATGTTTCCAAACCTTACGTTTAAATATTATTGCAGACCTGAAAGCCACAGAAATACAGCGTAAATGTTCAAATAACCCTGATAGATCTGAAAGGAGAACTCATTCCGTAAAGAAATATTTATCGTTCTTGGTTCTACATTTCCCTGAAGCAATATAGATTTTATAAAGTATACAGAAAACTGAAATAGAAAGATATCATCAAAAATAATATATTTATGATAAAGTATTTACAGGGAAATCACACATGTTTTATACGTTATACTTTGAACTCTGCTTACCATCTTTTTTGAATAAATCGTATATTAATTGAAGTTGTTCAGTTGGGTTTTTACAGCTATCTGCAACATGCAGAAATTCATGACAAATACAATTAAGTATCTAAAAATTCAACAGAATAATATAACACTATAAATAACTAGTAGATATTAGAGATTCTTATTTAAAAACAGAAACCAGCCAAAGCTTTAATGTTTTATTTCAGAATAATATCAGCCAGTCAGCTGTAACGTACAGTCTAGGACAAATATGAATCGTCTTAAATCGTTATACCACATCAAAACAGAGAGATGAAACTGTCAAAATAAATATCACAGTAATAGAAGTAGCAGTGGTAGTACCAAAGGTACTAAAAAAACAATCACAGAAAATATGATTGTTGAAGAATAAATGAATTCACAAATGAAGAGTATAAAGTAATTTTAGAATTCAGGATTTAATGGAGGAAGAATAATGAATGGACCTGTGCTAATACGATCGAGTCTGAGTTAGGTTACCCAACATCTCCAATCTTTGGTCACAATAACCAGGTATCATGGATAAACCAATATGTCTCAGTCAAATAGTCAATGACCTTATGGACTAATACTACATTTTAGTTTGGCCGCCACTAAGTTTCTACGAACATACTTTTACACTAACATTACACGTCGAAGTGAGTGGCAGCTGGACACATATAACACATGCCCTAGTCACTTCAGTTAATGTAGACTAACTAACTTACCAACAAATCCACTGTCTTTGCCTAGAACACTGTGTTTAACCTTAGCTTTGTTTACACAGTTGTTCTAAGATGCTTCAAAAAGACCTGAATTCCAATACTACTAACCTAAGAATCTCATTTACTTTCAGAATTTGTTTGATAGACATACAGTGTTCCATAGCAAACTATTGAGCAATATACTCGCTTTTTGGTAGTCAGATGGACATCTCGGCTACACAATAAGTGATCCACATTGACAAAAGTCGAACGAATGTTGACATTTCGTCAGATACCAGCACATTAAGGCTAATTAAACCTCCGAGATAAGCGAAATGTTCAATGTACTCAATTACTTTATTCCCTATAGATTAATCTTGTCAATGACACAAAGTAGTCAGTCCTGAAGCAATTACAAAAAAAGGTAACGGTTTGATAAATATAGAACTCATATGTACTCAGAAACCATTGAGAGTTATGAGTTATAAAACTTGATAAGATAGTAAACATAGTGAATTTTCGTTCGTGACAACATTGCTCGACAAATATACTATAATAAGAAACAATTAAAGTTCGAAGGTCAATTACCTATGATGTTAGGGTCTAATATGCCCATAATAATTATTTCCAATAATCTCTGAAAATTCTTACTTCGACTGAAGAAAACAAAACATACATACTACTACTATGCTTTCTGTTAAAAAGTTAATTATCGGCCTACAACATTCAATAATGAACATCGTTGTCTGGTTAATGATCAATTTGGTAAGATTACCACTACAAAACAAATTGTTAACAAAGAAACTTTGAAAAACCAATTTCATTCAAATCTTGTATTAATTTCAACAATACAACCAATACTATCACTTTTGACTAGGAGAAATAACTGTGTTAGATTCCTATCAATACAACAATTACGATAAATAATGGTTGAAATAGTTATTTGAAATATTACAAAAACCCCTTAGTCATTTACTTGATATTATATTATATTTACTGGATTGATACACTGATTTATATTTATTTATTTATTTTAACACATAGGTATTGGTACACGGAGGCACCAAATACATATGCGCCACACGAATCTCAATTGATTTGTGTGAGGGCTGTGATACTGCCCGGGTGCCCAAAACGAAGCAGGTGGTGTTCTTGGGGGGCCACAACCCGAGCCTTTGACCTGAACGTTTGACCCACAAGGCAGTGAAGCATCGTAAGGGGATGCAGTCCCATGGTAGCCGGTGACCAACGATTGGTTCATACGCCATTTGTTCCTTCAGGATACTGGAGCCCATGTGCACCAATGATTTGGGATCCGGTTAAAGCGCCGGACATTCGCTTTTCGTCTTCTCATTTTCGTAAACAACACCCCCGCCACGAGAAGGCAGTGAGTAGGACTTCCCTGGCAGAGGCTATATACGCTTGGCCATGTGAGAGCATTTCGAGAGGGAGAGCGGACTCTCCCCACTCTCGGCGCTACCAATCAGAGATCACCCGAATGATAGGCGTATGCGATTAGGCAATAAATGACCTCACTTCTAAGTGTTGATCCCGTTTTTTTTCAATAAATTTCCTTTCTCACTCGAGTAAGCGGTCAAGCTCAAGTATATGAAGATCAAGTATCAGCATCAACTCATAGACAATGCACTTGACATCATAGATGACATGTTAACAACCATATTAAAATTACCATCAAAAAACTTTTAGACTTGGACTCGATCATCTTAGAATTATTTATTCTTTAGTCTGTGAAACACATACAGAAATTGGAAAAAGATTGCAGAAATAAGCAAAAAGAAATAGACAGTAAATATTTATTAGAAATAATACAGTTTTGAATCAATTCCTCCAAAGGAGCTGTTTAAAATAACATTTAAGAGATGTTTTTCATTACGTCTTGTTGAAATATACAGCGGACAAACTCCTCACGGATAATTTCTAAACATTATACCTGAATGACTCAAGTGCTGCGGAACACATCCTGTCACATCCTAAGATAAATTTTATTGTGAGCTTAGTTTTAAATTGAAGTTAACAAAAAGATAATAATTATGTGGAACGAAAATGAATAAATGAAAAAAACACTGAAAACAAACTTGTCTTATATTTGTCGAGGGATCGTAACCTGGAATAACGATACAATTTGCTTTAGATAGATATTGCTTTCGAAAATCCTCCATAATATACCGCTTGGATCCAATTCCATACAAGAGAATATTAAATCCTTCACTGGAATACAAGAAAATAACAGATTATTTATAGTTTAAGTTCAATATAACAAAATTATTAGAATTTATTTGAGCAGTTTAAAAACAGGAGTCATACAGGGATACTAGGAATATAAATTTCGAAAGTAACCAGAGCAATATAAGCAAAGATGGTGGCTGACAGTGGAATCCTGGACGCGTATTTCATCCTACTAGGGACTTATCAGCTGAACGCACTTTCACCCCAGAGTTGATGTTCATTTCATGACTCGAACCCAGTATCGTTCACTTCAGACACCACCGCGTTATCCACTTAGCTATCGAGTCCAGATAACCACTAGCAGCTACCAGAGATTATCGCGAGGGAGAGCGATTTCTCCCCACCCATGGCCGTACCACTTTATTTGGGCATTTTTGTTGATATTAATAGCTGTTATTTATGTTTTGTGGTATGTATACAGCCACGTGAACCAGTAACTGTAAACAGTGCAGAATAATATGAGGTACATTTCTGGTCATCACGTTTTAACTGGTAGTTTTGTGAACGGATGAGAGTAATGAGTGAACTATCGATAGCTTACCATACTAGCAGACTCGTAATTAGTGGGCTTAACTGAATGAGAATCAAAACAGTTACAACTAACGCAAACATATTAAAATAAGACATGATCTTCGATAAAACAAATATCAAGGAGTAAATAAAAAAGAAATTAACACCTACCGCAAATAAATTCTCCAATTATCAAACAAGCGTGTGCCTAATTTTGACCTCAATTTCTCCAAAGTAGGTAACTGTTTGGGCTTATAGGAATTACGAAATTGCTCAAGAACGACGGGATCAGGTAATCCTGGATGATTTCCAACGCGAAGTTTGGACAGGGTATGATTACTTGTTTTACAGTTGATAGAATTACCATGTTGTAAGAAGTAGGAATCTAAGGTCTCTGACTGATTTGTGTGCAATACAAAAATCGAAAAATAATTAGTAAAAATTAAAGCCAGACATCAACAGAATTCTATGCCAGTTGAGTGGTCCAGAGGATAAACGTTTGCGAAAGAGATAGAAAACCCTGGGTTCGATTTCCGGATGCGGGATCCTGGATGCTTGTTGCCGAGGCGTTCCGTGCTACGACAAAACGCCCGTTAAATGGTTAAGGTTTTTAAAGGTGGTCTAACTAAGATTAGTTCGTGATATAAACTGTGAAAATTCTGTAATTTCCACAAATCCCCTATACTAATTAAAAAATTTCGAAATTTCGCAAATTTATGTAATACTTGTTATTTGATATTGACTACTGGGTGAGTTTATGAATTACATTACGAAATGACTTGAAAATAAGGGTGGTTAGCATAGATTATCCTTGGTCAAGCACACGGACTTGTCATTAGATTTTTGATTGACATAACAGATCATTTTCACTGTATCAGCTATCATAGGCATTCAGTCAAAGGCAATGTAGAACCTGGTACATATGTACATCGATTAAGTTGCCTTATTTCATTAACACAGCGCAATGAAATTGTTATAGCGAATCCCAGAGAAGTAGAGGTAGTAACAGCAATAGTGATGATAAAAAGATGATGAAAAAATATGAATTCAGTAAAGCAATCGAAAAATTCATAGGGAATTTAGACTGGAAATCTTACATAGTTGGAGATAGCAAACTTTACTATTTTCTTTCTAAAACGCGCCGTCAGTTAAAATTCCGCTCCATTACAACTTCAGCAGTAGAAAAGCATTACTAACCCTCATTCCATAAATAGTGAGGCATAAAGGGGAGTACATAAATCTGTACTATGTAAATGGATAATTTGGGTATGGTCAGTCAGTCACAATGTAGAAATTGTACTTATGTAGATCCGTTCAGGTTGCCATACCCCATTAGCACACAGATAAAGTTATTAGGCAAAATCTCAAAATATTAGAGGTAGTAACAGTATCAGTAGTAGTACCGCACTAGCACAGCAAGATGAACAGTGCTGGTAATGTATAAAAGAAAGATTGCATATAAGGAGATAGTACAGGAAGAAAGAATTAGTTCGTAGAAAGAAAGATATGAAGCGATTTTAATCTCTTAGTTTAAAGGAAGACAGAGAGTGTATACACCGACGCCATTGTGATCGATTCTGAGCCATTTCACCAACATTCTCCAACCATTCGTCGTTACGATAGTCACGCGGACCCCAACCAGGCAGTCTGAATCTACCAACATGGCTCAGACCAGAAGTTAGTAACTTCAAGCACTGATGCCACGTTTTGGTTTGGCCGCCCCTAACTTTCTTCCAATCATCCCTAACACCGGTTAGCATTGTGTGTCGTGGTAATCGGTGTTCAGGCATACGTAACACAGCTTTGAAATGATCATTGTCTTAATGGTCCCAAACCAATGGTGCACATGGGCTCCAGTATCCTGAAGGAACAAATGGCGTATGAACCAATCGTTGGTCACCGGCTACCATGGGACTGCATCCCCTTACGATGCTCCACTGCCTTGTGGGTCAGACCTTTAGGTCAAAGGCTCGGGTTGTGGCCCCCTAAGAAAACCACCTGCTTCGGTTTGGGCACCCGGGCAGTATCACAGCCCTCACACAAATCAATTGAGATTCGTGTGGCGTATATGTATTTGGTGCCTCCCTGGACCAATATCTGTGTTAAAATAAATAAATAAAATACGTAACACATGGCCCAACCATCTCAGTCGATGAAGATTCACAACCTCATCAACTGATTTATCATCATTCCATAATACCCTGCGTCCAACCTCACTATTACTTACCCAGCAGACGCTAGCAATATTTCTAAAGCATCTGTGGTCAAATACTAGTAGCCTGCGAGTATCTTCTACTCTTAATGACCATGTTTCTCTGCCGTAAATTAAAACAGAACGAACTATCGCGCACTATACTCGTACTTTTATTGATAGACGGATATCTCGCCTTTACCATAAGTGACGTAAGTTGGCAAAAGCCAAACGAGCTTTTCGAATCCGTGCTGAGATTTCGTTAGACACCAACTCATTAGGGCTGATCAGACTTCCAAGATAGGTGAAGTCGTCAACGCGTTCGACTACTTCATTCCCTATCCTTAGTTCAGGTGTTGACACAGACCAGTCCTGAAGCAACAACTTGCATTTAGAGGGAGAGAAGCGCATCCCAAACATTCTGGCGTTGTTGCTCAGTGCTGCCAGAAGACTCTGCATTTTATCAGCGTCTTCACCAAACAGGACTGTGTCACCTGCGTATTCTAAGTCGATAAGTGGACCTCTTGGTAAGAGATCAATACCCGAGAATTCAGTCGACGAGAATGTTATTTCTATCAGTAGGTCTATGATGAAGTTAAACAAAAATGGAGAAAGTGGACAGCCTAGAAATGGTCGACCCTAAAAGTGTCACGCCTCGCCTTATCCCACGGATTTCTGTCTCCGGCGGTAAGTTCTTTCTAAGTGCGGAGCTAACTCGGCAAAAACTCCCCATGAAAAAGCCATGCGCGTCGACACCTTCACTCATTTTAGAATTCTGATCAGTCCTAATGGGTTGGTGTCTGACGAGATCTATAAACGACTCGAAAAGCTCGTTTGGCTTTTGACAACTCACGTCACCTATAAAGGAGGCGAGATATCTGTCCATCAGTTAAGGGAAGAGTATACTAAGCAACAGTTCGTTCTGTTTTACTTCATGACTGCTAAATGTGGTCATTAAAGGTAGAAGATACTTGTAAGTTACTAGTATTTGATCACAGATGTCTTAGAAATATTACTCGTATCTGCTAAGATCACCGAGTAAGCAATAGTGAGGTTGGACGCAGGGTATTAGGGTATGATGGTAAATCAATTGATGAGGTTGTAAGCCTTTATCGATTGAGATGGTTGGGCTACGTATTACGCATGCTCAACCACTGACTACTACGGCACGCAATGCTGACTAGTGTTGGGAATGGTTGGAAGAAAGTTAGGGGCGGCCAAACCAAAACGTGGCATCAGTGCTTGAAGTTACTAACTTCTAGTCTGGGCCATGTTGGTAGATGCAGACTATTTGGTTGGGGTCCGTGTGACTATCGTAACCAGTGGGGAGACTCTGAGTGACAATGACTTAGAACCTATCACAGTGACGTAGGTGTATACACTCATTGTTTCCCCTCAAAACGTGAGATAAAAATTACATTATACATTTATTTCTACGAACTAATCCTTTCTCCCTGCACCATATCCTCATATGCACTTTTTTATATGTTACTACCATTGAAGTGACTGGTTCTATGGATTTGGTATTCATCTTGTCGTGCTAATAAGGTGTGACAACTTGGACCGATGCACATATGTACCTGGTCGTATGTTGTAGATGACTGACGGACTTGAAGTATACATGATTTCAACTCTTACATGAAAAGTATGTTCTAGTCAATCTATTGCAAATCAGTCAGATGTTGGTTAGGCCACGTGCTGCGTATGCCTGAACACCGATTACCACGACACACAATGCTAACCGGTGTTAGGGATGATTGGAAGAAAGTTAGGGGCGGCCAAACCAAAACGTGGCATCAGTGCTTGAAGTTACTAACTTCTGGTCTGAGCCATATCGGTAGATTCAGACTGCCTGGTTGGGGTCCGCGTGACTATCGTAACGACGAATGGTTGGAGACTGTTGGTGAAATGGCTCAGAATCGATCACAATGGCGTCGGTGTATACACTCTCTGTCTTCCTTTAAACTAAGAGATTAAAATCGCTTCATATCTTTCTTTCTACGAACTAATTCTTTCTTCCTGTACTATCTCCTTATATGCAATCATTCTTCTATATATTACCACCACTGAATTAACTACTTCTGTGAATCCGGTGTTCATCCTGTTGTGCTAATGCGGTATGGCAACTTCGGCCGATGCATATACGTGCCTGGTCCTACGTTGCAGCTGACTGACTGACCGACTGAAATAAGGTTATTAAGTTTATTTGGCAAATAACTGCAACTTAACTATACATAGAAAACTTACATCTTCAATCGATTTCTGATCACACTTGCTGGACACCGTATTGGATGCCTCTGTAAAGAATTAAACACAGAACTTTGTGACGATAATAAGCCAAATGAAGTAAAAGCCCAAGACTAACAAGAAGCTTTAAGCCCGTTCAGTATATAAAAATAGCTCACAACAGAACAACAAGCATATTTCAGCATGGGTTTATGGATTTACGTTGGACAACCATTGGAAACTTGGAAACACTGGACTTCCTAGTATGGGATTCAGCAAAGTGTATCGACGACCAAGGTTTATATACCAGTGGATCCCAGATCAGGGGTACAAAGTCTAAACATTAGCGCGCGAAACCTAAAGTTTTGGGTTTGGTTCTCGATTGTGGAGTTGTGAATGTTCATCGCTGAAGAGTCACATACTTGGACCTGACGGACATCCAGTGCTTCCAGGTTTCCAACAGCTTTCTGACTTAAATTGGTCTGTGTTTTTAATTAAACATAAATATTATTTCAAGGAAATGACAATATAGGCGTGGTACATCATCTTCAAGTGATGAGATCGTAAGATGCGCTACCGATAAGCAAAAGATTTAACGTTAAGGAAGGAGAGTATATCGTCGATTTTTAAAAGAGCCTTGTAATTGTGCAGCTAAGTAAATAAGTAACTATGAAGCAATCATCCTAATAGATAGTGGACACATACATAGTACCGATTATTAATTTTAAAAATTTAATAACAATGATTTAAGTGGAATACTGTGAATTTATTTTGTAAAATTCTCATTTACTTATAATTTGTAATATTTCCGAATTAAGACTTAAAATACAGTTCAAAATACTCATAAAAGTGAAGTTTGTAAGGGTTTCGTGTCCCAACACATAACCATGGTAAAAGTATGAGCCAAGTGAAGTTAACAAGACGTTGAGTAAAATGTTGCAAATATGAATATAAAGTGAGAAGGTTATAGAGCATTGATTAGAGTTGTAACTAAAGATCACAGGGATTAGGATTGGAACACAAGTTTTCAAAACGATGAATATCTTGATGCTGTATCGCACTTAATCTTTTGAGTTGTATTAACGTCCCAGCCCTCACACAAATTAATTGATTCGTGTGGCGCATATATATATATATATATATATATATATATATATATATTCGGTGCTTCCTTGTACCAATGTTTAAGTAAATAAATAAATAACCAAATAAACATCTTAATCAGCCTGAAAGTGACCAATATGCTATCAATAACCATGTAAGAAATATGGTGCGGAACAACTTAATAAACTTACTTTTGAAACTGCATCTTTTCATCGCACGTGCTGGAAGTTTTTCAATATTCTCCTTTTCTTCAGAAATATTCAATTCTGAGAACTCTAAACATTGAATAATACAAAACAGTGATTTAAGATTATGCAAAAAGTTAGCGAAAACCTAAACACCAGGTTCGTCGAACTACATTCAACAAGTCTTGTATATAGTAAGGAAATGCCTTGTCAACAACGCCATAAAAAATTGACTACGGAGCTTCAGAAGGTATACTTTTTTACCGTAAATTTCCGTGTCGTAATCCCCAATATCAGACTAACGAATAATCATGCTTTGAAGTATTTAAGTTAATACATGGTCTTTCAAAACCTTCCATAAGACTCATTGAGTTTAAGTAGTAGATTTTACTCGCTTCTAAAGAGAGATACTTGACCATCAAAAACAAATGACACAAGGCGTGTACACACTGTTTTTGGATGACCGACATCAACAAATTTTAGTGAACTTATGTAATAAATCTGAATCATAAAGATATGCAGTCGTTGCGATAATATCAGTATAGGAAAACACAGAGGTGGTACGATTATACAAAGAAACGACGCCAAGAACTTTTCTAGTGAGGTAGTGCAGACCAAATATTTTTTGCGGTTGTAACTTGCTAAGGATTGTCTAACGATTCAAAAAACAATAACTTGACAAAATCTTGGTGGTGTTACTCACAATTAGAAAACAAAAGTAGCAAAAATTAAATGATCAAACCTGAAGCAATTCCACTTTCTAAGAACTTTGACATAGATATTTCACCCGGTGAGTAGAATGTTAGCTCGTACTTTTAGATATGCATTCAGCAAATAGTGAACGGCTAGCTGGTCAAAATTGTACAGCCTACAAGGTATAAGCGGAGAAGATGATATCAGGTGATGTCCATATGCACAAAAATAGTAAAAATTATGCTTAACAGCATTAGTGCAGATGTGTTCATTGCAGGGAAAGACTATACAACAAGCTTGGTAGAAACTGATCAGTGGTGTCATGCAGTAAATTTTAACCCAAAGGACTATTTATAACGATTTACTTGGAGTTCTTTGAATTATGGGCAATCTTTGTACTGTCACTGCATGTTTTACCGATATTGTTTAGCTATAACCCTATATACGGTACATTACTTAGAATTCCAAAAGGCTTCGGTAGAAAATCAAATTGTCATTTATACGTGCAAAATATACAGCCAGAGGACACTTGTTAATGACTCCTCAAAGTATATGTTATTTTCCTGGTGTGTTCTCTTTACACAGAAAGGCATCAACACAACTGCTGCAGCATATGGAAATAATTAACCAGGTTCTTAGGAAGTCATCAATGTGGCAAAAAACGGGCATGGAAATGTGGTGAAAAGGCATCGTTTTTTTACTATTCGCATACAAAATGTCGTGTCCGGTAAGAGGAAAAAAGCACATTCATGCGTAGTGTAAATCCACTAATATCGGTGCAAAGAAACGTGATTTATATGGATAGTAACGCAACGTTTATAATTTGGCAAGGTAATGTTTATCCTGGAGGTAAGTTATGTGTTGGGATAGTGTACACTGACCAGTATATCGTCCCCCGATCGGGGGGACACACGAGTGTTAAAATTCTGAAGGCTAGGGCGGAAAAAAGTGGGTCAACAACAAAGTCAGGATATGAGGTGAAGTTGCTTTAATTGGTGACGAAAACCGACAACAGTTAACGGTGATAGGGATAAAATTAAGACAACCTGTCAACTAAGGTACAAAGTTGACAATTGCAACCCAAATCTGAAAATAGCGCTTATTAGAGTCCTTCAAATATCGCTCTTCCTATTGTGTAATTACATTTTGCAGCCGTATAACAAGTCCACGTAGTCAAGTTGGGACTCAAACTTCTATCAGTTCCGAATGTATTTTACCCAAAAGTCCAACATCTACAAAGAGTTTTTCCATCATAATTCCTTTCGTGAAAGAATGGCGTAAAGGTAAATCCAAACGTTATTTAGCACATGAACAGCTATCTGTTTTACTTGGGATTTTCAAATATAATGGATTATTATTCAGACTCTACAGAGCATGTCCCATGTTTTAGACGCTTCACTAACCTGAAGGGCATTAATATCAGTAAGTAGTTGAGCGAGGTTACTAGAACAATTACACACTGTCCAACTTAACTTGAACACTTACTAACTTACGCCTGTTACCCCTCCTCCAGGAGCATAGGACGACCACCAGCGTTTTCCATCAAAACCTTTCCTCGGCAGTCGTTTTAGTGATTTCCGATCTTTATTCATGTTTGCTTCCAATTCCCATCACAGTGTGTTCCTCGCTTTTCCTCTTTACCGTTTCCCTTCAAAATTTAAAGTAGGCTCTTGCCTCGTGGTGCAGTTCGGTGATTTCCATAATGTGTCCTATCCACTTCCAACGTCGTTTCCTAATTTTCTTTTCAGCTGGAAGTTTGCTTGTTCTCTACCACAGTAGGTTGTTGCTGATGACATCCGATCAACGGACACTGAGTATCTTGTATAGACAATTGTTTATAAACACTTTTACATTTTTATGATGGTTGCGGTAGTTCTCCAATTTTAGCTCCGTACAGTAGAACTGTTTTGACGCTTTCGTTAAAGATTATGATTTCGATGTTGGTTGACATTTGTTTTAAGTTTCAGAAGTTCTACAGTTGTTGGGATACTCCCCTTGATTCCTAATCACTTGCATTTACGTGTGTACCAGATACTCCAAGTTCATTGATGATTCTATCAAGGTACGTGGAAGACTCAAACTCTTTCAGAATTTTTTCCCCAAATGTGATTGAGTTGACGTCGCGTCCGCTTTACACACCAGATCAAATCTCGGCATAATTGTGTTAGGGTTTTGGTCGTGATAAGTATTTATGCAATGCAACTTTTTAAGTTTGTGGTTGTTATAATGCAGACTTGTAGAGCACTTTGGAAAACGCGTACATCGAGTTTTTTTCAGATATCAGAAGTTTCATAGTTGTGCCTCCAGAGCAAGATTGTGGAAAAAAAGATTAGCAGCAAGGCGCTTGGATATGAACGATAAAGAATATTTAACATTTTGTAGTGGAACAGACAGAAGTATGAAAAAAGCTAGAAAATTTCGGACAATAAAATATATAGTTACTGGTTGTCTTAACACTTTACTCAATCGATGCGATTTTCGTCCTAATAAACAGCCTTCCTTATTCTCAGTTCCACCTCCTTTCTGTCATTTAAATCTACTCCACCTAAATAAATAACGAAACTCATTGTTATTTATTACTTCATTCTCTCATCTTGAGGCTCTAAACAAGTTTCACAATAGCATCAAGAGCTGGTATGATTTTAATCCATTATTTTATCATAACTCTGTCTGTTCCACTACAAAATGTTAAACATTGTTTAGCGCTCATATCCGAGTGCTTTGCTGTCCCTTTGTTTCTCGTTTTTCCCGAATCTCAATCTCAGGACAGCTATGTGGCTTCCAACGCACGGAACAAGCTTGACGTACGCGTTTTCTCAAGATTATAATTCACATCAAACGCTTTTTAAATCTACTTTATAATAACCACAAACTTAACAATTTGTATTGCATGGATACTTGGCACAACCAGGATTCTAGCACAATTATGCCGAGCTTGGATCTGGTGTGTATCGTGGACACGATGCAACTTTGGAAAATATTCTAAAGACTGCACCCAGTTTAATACTAAAGCATAAACCCAATCAATAAGGCTTCAAGATATCTTCACGAATGTATTGTTATTTAACATTATTGATCTCATCTATTTACTAACCGTGCTTCGGAAGCATACTGTACGCAAGCTAATATTGTAATTTGTAGATCATACCTGCAAAAAATGGCGTGTATGGGACGGGCTCGCTGACCCAATGTCCAACCTCCTTCCTTTATCTGGTCTTGGAACCGTTAGTAGCCCTAGAAAAGCATCAGGCGGAGTTTTGAAAGTTAAGGCTTTTCAAAACTCATTTCCACTGATTTCAGCGTATATCTTTACTCATCCCACAGCTTTGCAGAATACATTTGGAGGTACTGTTTGGTCAGCAATGTCAATTTGTTTAACAAAATTTTGCCAATTTATTACGACCACAAAAATCATTTCGACCATTAAAACTCTAACCTATGAATTGAAGGGTCTTCATTAAAATAGCATTATGAATAAGTAAATACGTCTTACTATGATAAATGGAGGCGTCTGAATTGATGAGCTGACTGAGAATTCCAGAAATAGTACAATTTAAGGCAGGTAGAACTAGATGGGCACAACTGTACATATTATAGTTTGTAATTCAATGACAAACCAATGTACTAACTAGGAATTCCCAAAAAATAGTGCAGTTTACTTCAAAGGATGATTTTGTTACCTATTTCATCTTTCGAAACTGTTCGCTTTACGACACATATCTGCATTTATCTCCAACCACTAGCGTATGAGTCCATCCAGGAGTTTCATTTTTTAATTACCGAAATATCCACTACGAAGATTATCGAGGACAGATTTACCTGATGAAGAAAGAATAATAATACGATCATTCAGACGAAAAAGAACATCGAGAGTGTTAGATTATACACCCCACAATGAAAAATAGACAGGAATGCTACGTTTTAGATTACCACTCGAACTTTTTATAATGGCACTGAGTATGCATCAAAAGTTTCTCCAATGAGATCTTGACGTCCCACGAGTAAGGGTTGCACTAACAAATGGTCTTCAGTATTAAAAGGTTTATTTTAATATGTGAGACCACGAGTCAGTTGAAGCTAGGCCAACATGGAAAATCTAGAAGCACTGGACAGCTGTTTCGTCCCACTGTGGGACTTCTCAGCAGTGCACATCCACGATCCTGCTTCGCGCGATTAGAATCCAGGACTCACCGGTCTCGCGCGCAAGCTCATAATCATTAAACCGCTAAACGAGCATCCAACTATTAAAATTACTACAATATTCACAAAACCCCTTCTGATATTAAGAGGTTTATTCTGTAATGATCGTCGAGTTACCCAGTATGTATGCTCACTAAGGGAGTAAGTTCCGAGAATAGCATCACTTTGAAGAAACTTTAGTAGTTTTGGTAAGCATGACCATTGTTCCTCACCCCATTTAAGTGAAATCGACGTTAAGGTTTGAAATAAACGATTAGCATGAGATGCGAAATTAGGAATAAAACGAGAATAGTACTGAGAAGCACTCACCAGAGAACGTAGATCTGTGGAGCTAGTCACTTTATATCTGGTTTAAAACAGTTACTATCAACTAGATATCCAAGGCATTCCAAACTCGATACATAAAATGTATACCTATTCTGATTCATCGTACGCAGTAAAGTACTAAGTCTCTGATCCTGGAAGTTGTATTTAAACAGGCCGAAAGAAGTGTTGAATATCGTCAAAATAGATAAATTTTGATTTGAAGGAATTTGAAGATGAATATAATTTCACTGAACTTTCGAGAACACCTTAGAGCCATGAAATCGATTGAGGATATCTTCAGCTTCCACAGTCGTACACTTTTGCTTCAGCAAACGACAGTTCATTGTTAATCTATAATCACCAAATATTCTATGGGTTTCGCGGTCGAACCTTAATGTTGTAACAATAGGGGTACCCCATGCTAAGGACTGAATAGGTTCAATTACACCTTTTTCACATGAATCGTTCAGTGTGTTGTGTATGGCTTCTCGAAGGTCATAGGTAATTATTTGTCTCTTAAAAAAGACTTGGTCACACTGTACTTGAAGTTTTATAGGCTGCGTCTTCATTCCTCCACTATACTTATCACACGCAGCTACTAAAATCTTATTCATAAATCAATAAAGAAAGCTCCAAGCTCCTTCAACTTTTTCGAACCCATTATTGACGGTCCTTTTCCACCAAATAAAAGACGTATATTATGTTCTAAAATCTCCAATCGGCAATTCATGGCATCATCGTATGGACAGTTTGTATCCAGTAATCTCCGACACTGAGACTTCAATGGGTCGTACCACAACATTAGATTTTGAAGATTTCCACATTCTTTAATGAAACAATAGACTTCATACCACATGTGCCAACACTAAAGTCATGGAATGAAACAAGGGACGTATATAATCGCTCCTGAATATGGACAGTACCTTCGAAATTGCGGATAAAGACAGATGGTCATTAAAAACACACAACCGGATAAAGTTCGAACCACAGGGTTTATCACTATTAATGGCAAAACGGATAATAGCTCTAAAAACCGAATTGATGTGTCCCACTTTACCTCACTTAAAGCGATTGGGATGATGAAAGACACATGAATTACGTAAGTGAAATTTATCACAGAATAGATATTTACCGAACCCATGCTCACTTATCTAAACTTGTTTGCAACTCCTTGTCAAATCACTTCACATTTACACGAGAATAGGGACCGTTATTAAACAAACGCAAGCTTGAGCGACTTCAAGAGTACAATTCTCCCCAACGACTAAGTATTGAAAATTTTCACTGACCAAAATTCAAGCTTCTTCACTGTCCCACCATAAGTTCATGCTGTTTTAGTTTCTTGTAGTGAACGCTTAGGTTTTTGAGTTAATTCGCTTTTTAAATTTGAAATATTTATACCAGTAACCAACCGATCACGAAGTTGAATTTCAAATTGGTCTCCAAATTTCACTTCGCGGCCTGTTTATGTAGTTCAAGTATAAAGTGTTTAACTTTCTGATCATTTTGTTGCATCATTTTATGAGACTTCGACCTCTCGCTGCATTTAAGGCCAGGATACTACACATGACTAAGTAGTAATTCATTGATAGATTCATATGACAATGAAATTGGTT